TACTGTGTGACTGTGGGTTAGCTGTGTTTATATACTGTGTGACTGTGGGTTAGCTGTGTTTATATACTGTGTGACTGTGGGTTATCTGTGTTTATATACTGTGTGACTGTGGGTTAGCTGTGTTTATATACTGTGTGACTGCGGGTTAGCTGTGTTTATATACTGTGTGACCGTGGGTTAGCTGTGTTTATATACTGTGTGACTGCGGGTTAGCTGTGTTTATATACTGTGTGACTGTGGGTTATCTGTGTTTATATACTGTGTGACTGTGGGTTAGCTGTGTTTATATACTGTGTGACTGCGGGTTAGCTGTGTTTATATACTGTGTGACTGTGGGTTATCTGTGTTTATATACTGTGTGACTGTGGGTTAGCTGTGTTTATATACTGTGTGACTGTGGGTTAGCTGTGTTTATATACTGTGTGACCGTGGGTTAGCTGTGTTTATATACTGTGTGACTGTGGGTTATCTGTGTTTATATACTGTGTGACTGTGGGTTAGCTGTGTTTATATACTGTGTGACTGTGGGTTAGCTGTGTTTATATACTGTGTGACTGTGGGTTATCTGTGTTTATATACTGTGTGACTGTGGGTTAGCTGTGTTTATGTACTGTGTGACTGTGGGTTAGCTGTGTTTATATACTGTGTGACTGCGGGTTAGCTGTGTTTATATACTGTGTGACTGCGGGTTAGCTGTGTTTATATACTGTGTGACTGTGGGTTAGCTGTGTTTATATACTGTGTGACTGTGGGTTAGCTGTGTTTATATACTGTGACTGCGGGTTAGCTGTGTTTATATACTGTGTGACTGTGGGTTAGCTGTGTTTATATACTGTGTGACTGCGGGTTAGCTGTGTTTATATACTGTGTGACTGCGGGTTAGCTGTGTTTATATACTGTGTGACTGCGGGTTAGCTGTGTTTATATACTGTGTGACTGTGGGTTAGCTGTGTTTATATACTGTGTGACTGTGGGTTAGCTGTGTTTATATACTGTGACTGCGGGTTAGCTGTGTTTATGTACTGTGTGACTGTGGGTTAGCTGTGTTTATATACTGTGTGACTGCGGGTTAGCTGTGTTTATATACTGTGTGACTGTGGGTTAGCTGTGTTTATGTACTGTGTGACTGTGGGTTAGCTGTGTTTATATACTGTGTGACTGCGGGTTAGCTGTGTTTATATACTGTGTGACTGCGGGTTAGCTGTGTTTATATACTGTGTGACTGCGGGTTAGCTGTGTGTTTATATACTGTGTGACCCCAGGTTAGCTGTGTGTTTATATACTGTGTGACCCCAGGTTAGCTGTGTGTTTATATACTGTG